GCACGCACGCACGCATCAACGCGCGCACACCTGGTATTTCTACCTGGGCACAACACATTAGTACGCACGCATCAACGCACGCACGCACGCATCAACGCACGCACGCATCAACGCACGCACACATCAACGCACGCACACCCGGTAATTCTCCAGGGGCACAACACCTCCGCGAGCACGCACGCACGCACGCACGCACGCATCAACGCGCGCACACCTGGTATTTCTACCTGGGCACAACACATTAGTACGCACGCATCAACGCACGCACGCACGCATCAACGCACGCACGCACGCACGCACGCACGCACGCACGCACGCATCAACGCACGCACGCATCAACGCACGCACGCACACTTGGTAATTATACCTAGGCACGACATCGTGATAGACAATGGCCCTTGTCATAATTACGGACAAATCCCCAGCGGCTGTACGTGTCTACCTGTCTATCTGTCTCGCGTACATGCAGCATCACAATGACTGACGAGAAACTTAGGTATAATGACTCATGATTCCTGGATTTCAACCCGGACCCGAATCCTGATCTGAATAGTTGTCAGCACTTTGACACGCTCTCTCCGTCTCAACCAACTGCGTATGAACAGCGCTCTAGCCGACAAGTGCTGGGTTGGGAAGTTGAGGTATCATCTAGTTCCAGAGCATTTCGCCAAGACTAGATACAATAATGTAACCCAACATAGTAAGGGTAAGGGTAAAGGTAGAATGTAACCTATCATAGTAACCCTACAGAGTAAGGGTAATGGTAGGGGGTAGAATGTAACCTATCATAGTAACCCTACAGGGTAAGGGTAAGGGTAGGGGGTAGAATGTAACCTATCATAATAACCCTACAGGGTAAGGGTAAGGGTAGAATGTAACCTATCATAGTAACCCTACAGAGTAAGGGTAAGGGTAAGGGTAGAATGTAACCTATCATAGTAACCCTACAGAGTAAGGGTAAGGGTAGAATGTAACCTATCATAGTAACCCTAGAGGCCCGGGTAAGAGTGAATGTAGGGGGTAGAATTTTACCCAACATTGGAACCCTACAGGGTAATGGTAGCCCTGGGGTAGAATGTAACCAGGATGTAACATATAATAGTAACCCTACGGGGTAAGGGTAAGGGTAGGGGGTAGAATGTAACCTATCATAGTAACCCTACAGGGTAAGAGTGAATGTAGGGGGTAGAATGTAACCCACTATAGTAACTAACCCTACAGGGTAAGGGTAAGGGTAGGGGGTAGAATGCAACCCACCATAATAACCCTACAGGGTAAGGGTAGGGGGTAGAATGTACCCTATCATAGTAACTAACCCTACAGAGTAAGGGTAGGGGGTAGAATGCAACCCACCATAATAACCCTACAGGGTAAGAGTGAATGTAGGGAGTAGAATGTTACCCAACATTGGAGCCCAACATAGTAAGAGTGAAGGTAGGGGGTAGAATGTAACCCACTATAGTAACCCTACATAGTAAGGGTAAGGGTAGGGGGTAGGAGTAGAAGGCACCTCAACATAGTAAGCCTTCTGTGTTGGGTTGCATAATTGTACAGGGGTAGAAATTAACTTTTGAAAAAGGGAGGCCTACCCTCAAAAAGAGGGAGTCCGCAGCAAAATAAGGGAGTCGGCAGTCTGAGGTTCAAAATTAAAGATATTATCAATAACGCAGGTGCTTATTTTTAAGATTCATGCAGTTGCACGTCTGCCACATTTTTTGCTTGGACATTAGCTGAACAAATACGGTAATTCCGCGAGGCCGTGCTCCGGAACGAACTAGTTAGTATGGCAGACTTTTCAGGGAGTCACACGAACTCCTGCATATGTCAATTCAGGGAGGCCGACAGTAAATCAGGGAATATTTGACTCCGGACTCCCGTTAATTTCGCACCCTGCTGTATATCAACGTTCAGCCGCCCCTACCTCCCTTACAAAAATTTAAGCAATCTACAAGCAATCCACAAGCGATCAACGAGTGCTTCAAATAAGCACTCAATGGTGCAGAGGATCGCTTATCTGATTGCTTATTAAGCAATCAGGACTGATCATTGATTGCTTAATAAGCAATCAGGACCAATCATCGATTGCTTAATTGGGACCGATCATCGATGGCATAATAAGCAATCGGGACCGATCTTCGATTGCTTAATAAGCAATCGAAGATCGGTCCTGATTGCTTAATAAGCAATCAGGACCAATCATCGATGGCATAATAAGCAATCGGGACCGATCTTCGATTGCTT